GCTCTTCAACAAGTCATGCAGATTCAAGTCGAACATGCCGCCGCCACCTTCCAAGCCAAGGCCAACGCTCTACTCAATGAATCACGTGAAAGCTTTCGTCAAATTCTCGCACAACAAGTCATTGCTACCGAACGCCGAGTGGATACCCTACATGATGCAGTCGCCCGCGCTCGCCGTGCACAAGACCGCCAAGCCGACGAGCAGAAGAAGATGTGGCAGCAGATCGATCAGATGCGTGACACGCCCGCGCTCGCTGAAGCTCAGGCGCCCATCGCGGACCTCACCGAGCTCGCTGACTGGGACCGCGCCCCCGACCCGACCATCTTCTCCATCGGCTGCCAGCGCCTCATCGCGCCCGACATACTGCTCAACGACCTGCAGGAGTGGATCGCCTCCGCCAACGTGGACCGCAACGCCGTGGAGTTGCTGGGCGACGAGCCGTCCAGGCGCTTCCTTCTTCAAGTCAAAGGAGACCGTGCAGCCGCAATCCCGCGAGCTCTCGCTCTTTCACGCGCCCTCCGAGATCCTGCTGGCAGGTGGAAGCGCTTTGTGTCCGCCGACACGACAGGAGCCCGAGTGGATATCTACCTCAATCCCGACAAGTCTCCCAAGCAGATCCGCACGGGGATCCAGTGCAAGAAGCTCCTGCAACTGCTCCAGCACCGCTACCCTGACAAGTCATGGAGAGCCATTCGCACCGAGGGCGAGATCAATTGCGACGCCATGCCCGTCGTCCGCCTCGACGTCAAGGGCCAGGCCGACCCCGCCATCCTCGAGTGGAACGCGCGCGCGTTCGAAGGCCACCACTTCAACGAAGTGGACCGTGGCGGCGTCCTCACCGCGTTCCAGGCGCTCTTCGCGGACACTGCGTCAGCAACGTGGCAGGTTTAGCCACCCCTGGTCGCCGTGGCGACCGAACGAGGACCCCGTCCCCAGCACCTTCATCACGTGGAACGCCAGAGCCCTCATGTGCCACAAGCGCCAGCGCCGCCGCCGCAAACAGGCTGCCCTGTTGAAGTACATGCGCCGCCACTGCGTCATCCTCCTCCAGGAGGTTCATGGCTCGGAGGCCCTGCTCCGCACGTGGGTGGACACGCAGCCGTGCCCGTACAAGCTCTTTTTCTCCGAGTTCGTCGGCGGCGATGACGTCGAGGCCCGACCTGGCACTGGCGGAGTTGCTACGTTGGTGCCCTGGCTCACGCCCATGCAGCTCGAGCAGCTTGCTCCGCACCAACTGCCTACCTTCGTCCACGAGGAGATCGTCAAGGGCCGCATCCAGTCCGTCTCCGTCACCAATGCCGTCACGAACAACTCCATCGTCATCATGAACGTCCATAACCACGAGATCGACGCTCGCGGCCGCGCCCGAGTGCAACGTGCTTGGCATCAGCATCGCGCCTGGGCCGAGGCCGACTACCAGCGCCGCACCTTCATCGCCATGGGGGACTTCAATACTGCCAGCCGCCCGCCGAACAGCTTCCTTCAGCCCCAGCCACAGCGCGCGCGCCTTGCGCTGGACAACAGCGCCCGTCAGCAGCAGCCTTTCTGGAAAGCACTCTTCGATTCCATGCTCGAAATCGAATCCGACTTACCGACCCGCTTCAACAAGTCCGACTTCTCCGCCTCAGCGATCGATCGCGTTTTCATCAGTTTGCCGCCCCATGCCATGCTCGAGCTCAAATCGCAGATCAACATTGTACACGATCCTGCCATCCTGCCAGACTCCTTCCTCAGCGACCATGCGATCATCTCCTACACCATCGACATCAAGCCGCGCACGCCGACGAACGACCAGGCGATCCCCCCTGCGATCTTCCGCGACCCGAACTACGCCAAGTACCTGGACCAACTGATCACCCACACCAAGACTCAGCACGTTCCCATCCAGAACCGCTGGCGCTCGCACAAGCGTCTCATGGTCGAGGCCGCGAGGCCCGTCCGCGACGGCTGGGTCAGCTCCACCGGGGACGGCAACAAATCCAACCATGCCGACGGACGGGTCCTCACGGCGCGTTCGATCTCACGCGCGGTCTGGCGCCAGGATGTGGCTCTCGCTCGTCGCCTTCAGTCCACCACCGAGCTTGGCGCCAAGTACCTCTCGATTACCGACGGCCTCATCACGATCATCAACCAGCCCGAGTTCGCTGACATGTCAGCCTCGCTCCACCGCGACTTCGAGGCTCGGCAACGCTCTCTGGCGCAAAGAGCTGCCCAGCGCCCCCCTGGCGCGGCAGGGGCCCTCGAGCCCGAGAAACTCCGTCGAATCTTGCGCGCCTCGCAGAGGCGGGCTCTCCTTTGGGCCCCCTGGAAGCGTCGTCTGGTCCTCCAGGGCATTAAAATCTCGGGCCCAGATGGCCCCCCTGGGGTCGCCAGAGAGAGCTGCGATATGGCGGACGCCCTTCGCACCTACTGGAAGCCCGTCTTCGCGCACAAGCTCGTCGACTCCGTCAAGGTCAAGCAGTGCATCTCCGAGCACATGCCGCTGGGCGCCACCATCGACGTGGGCGCGCCGACCAAGAGGCAGATCCGCGCCTTCCTGGCTCGCACCTCTCCGTCGGCTCCTGGACCTGACTGCCTCCAAGATCGCGC